TTGAGTGTTGGTCCGGCCGGGGCCTAGATCTAGACCGGTTCTAGAGAAAAAAAGGTACAAAGAATATAAAAAACTGGCATATAACACACAGCCATATAATAAACATCTTATTAACCGAGGTAGGTCGGTCTGTATGGGAGAATCTTGTCCTCGGTCGCTGTTACAGGCCTCACTGCTTTCGGTCTGTACTGGCGACCTCGGTCGAGATTCTCCCATACAAACCTCCCGCTCGGTTAATAAGAACTAATTAACGCATTTTGCAATAACACAACTGCAACCTCGTTCTTAGGGTCTCTCATCTTCCTGGCCCCCTGCAGTGAGAGAGGTGCGGGAAGATGACAGAGCCTGAGAACGAGGTTGACACAACTAAAATGTGCTATAAGTAAGCAGGTGAAGTCAGAGAAGTGGATCAGAATTCTACTGCAAAAGTGCACAATTCATGCAGACTGTTAAAGGGAATGGAGGGTCAGCAGTGAAAATATATTAGACAATACATTCTTGAGGGGGGCTGGTCTGGACTTTCTTTCTAATCTGTCGAGTTGACAAAAGTTGACAATGTAACGTCCGAAAAATGTCACGCATTTAAGTACCATAGTCACACCTTTCACCTGCTTTCCGCTTTCTTTACATTTACCACGACCCTGCTTTCAAAAAAGTGGTAGAAAACTCGAAAAGTGTTAATAGTCGCTTCACGTAATCTGTGATGTTCAACGCAACTGAGAGTGAAAATAATACATGTCTTTTTCGAGTTATTATATTTTGTGTTACACATTTTTCGTTAGAAAAGGCATTACATTTCGCGTTGAGAAGCTATTACATCTTACTTTTTAAAACACTTTGCGTGGATTATTGACTTTTGCATTGGTAAAGAATTTTGCGGCGCCTGTTGTTACTATTTAGGTAGGTTTTACATTTTGCGTTGTAACTCGATCTCGAGCCTGCTGTAGATTTGTCTTACACTAACCAAAAACTAACATTTTCCTTAGACTTGAATTCCAATTAAAAAGTCTCTCTATATGTCGGATTTTAATTTCTTCTTTTCTTAAACAGAATTCAAACTACTTACATTTTGATAGCTGTATGGTACAGTAATAGGCAAAAACAATGCTTTACAAGCACCCGCGAAATTCAAAAGGCGTGCCATCAATAACGTGATTTTGTAAGCACTAATGTTCCTTTCAAAGAACAGATTTCTGCCGATGCTGTCCGTGGGAAATTACGTGATCTTAGCCGTAGAATTAGCTCTACCTTGCAGCCAATTTTTGAAAGTAGGAAGCTAGAGCAAGACCCTAGACCTAAGAAAGCCAAGCTAACTATTGTGAATCAGCTATGCGTTGTTTACCATTTTTCATGCGATCTATACAATGCAGATTTATGTCGGTTTCATGCCCCGTCACCTTTTTCAACGCGCTCCTGAACACATGAATTCGGTAATTGACAAGCATAGTGCTGTTGCGCACAGTAGAAGCGATTTTATATCAATAAGCTTTGATTACTTTGAAGTTGGAATGCTGTTTATCAAGAAATTCAAACCTAAGTTGAACGTGCAAACGGCTCAATACGTGCAAAACGTTTTGTTTAGTTTTCGAAATTTGTTGTTTTGAAAAGTTTTTAATCAGTACCTATTGTTATTTTAGTGTTTAAAGCTTCTTAAACTTGTCAATTTTTTTAAGCGCGTTAAGTTAACGTCAAAATGTCGTCGACTAGCCCTTTTTAGTCTTAACCATAAAAACTACAGCAAGCTGTAACTATGTTCTATGGTCACGAATCGCTCAAATAATGCAATGCTAAGCAGAAGGTGGCGTTCAAGTTTGTGTGCGCACTAAAACAAAGCATGGCAAAGATATCTAAATTGCAAATAATTCGAGCGTGAAAAGGTTCTATTGTAATTGCAGATTCTTGGGTAGCGTCCCTCTCGTTCGATCTCAACAACTCGCCTTTAATGAAAGACTAAAACCGAAAATAGAAATGCCTATCCTAAAAGTGCGAAACAAATCATGAAAGAAAAATTTTGAAGAAAAAAACTGCGTCATTAAACAACGTAACTCTGAGAGCAAAGCAAAGCTCCTTGTTACGGTCGAATTGACTCGTTATTGACTTAACTTAGTGCACACCCGACCGCCCTTTATTGCCTTTGTATCATCAGCATCAAAAGAATTGCAAATATTAGAAATTTGGAGTCTTTTCTAAGAAGAAATAAATTAAACTTCAGCGTTCAAAAAAGGCGGCGGAGCTATTGAAGGCCAAATTCGAGGATCTGGTGCCGAAAGAGAAAGTAGATGGAGAGATAGACAGAGTTTGGAGATGTTGCTCGCCCGGTCAGCCGTTTCTACTTACGTGTACCTATTTTATTTCTTCTGTGACAAAGATGCAGTAACCTCATCCAATTTTAAAGAACCCTTTTTCGTTTGCGCGTCCATAACGATACAATTGAGCTCATCAGTTATTTCGCAAACTACGAGTGCTTGTTGACATCTTCTGAAATCATAATGGCCAACTATTTTTAGTAGTTGCCTTAAGCATCCTACAGACACTGACGACCTCAATGGACTTGAATTTTATAGTTTCTAATTAAGAGTTTTCGTTCATTCATCATTTTTTTTTTTACGATAAGTTCGTCAATCTAGTCTAAGCTGGCTCAGTCTCCCTTTTCTTCTGCTTATCTCACATTAGAAACAAACAGAAATTGCGAGATGGCGCTATAGTATTTCGAGAGAAGTAAGAGGTCTTCAGGGTAACCTTGGTTTTTTCTAAACTATTTATTTTCAGGACATCAATTTTGCATAAATATCTTGAATAAACCTCAGCGTGGCGTGGCGAAGGTGTTAAACGTGAAAATGGCAAACAAAACAAGGCTAGCGGTAGTTTGGTTTGGTTTAAATATCTGTGACAAGACGCTGTCCTTGGAGGCGAGATTTTACGATATTTGTGCAAGTATAGACAAGTATAGACCTTTGGTCAAAATTAGATTTGTCTTATTAGTACTCGATTTCGCCATTATATAATCTTTTTGCCAGCGTTTAAAATATTTAGAGGGAGTACTCTTAGCTTCATACAGTTCGCTGTTCAATTGAACAAGTTCTCAATTTGAACATTTTTCCTAATCAGTGAAATTATCTTAGATGTAAAGAATATTAAAAAGTAATAAGTTTCTGCACTATGATTACCGGATTCGATTGGCGTTACTGCTTTTCAGAGGACAATCCATGTATGACCATTCATGAATGATGCTGAATATGCAAATGATGGCAGAGTTTTTAGTTGACAATTATATTGGCATTAACTCATCCACAATTCGTAAATATTAAATATGTGATGGTAACTGAGTACCCTCAGCGTCAGGCGCTGTATTGGTTTTAATCAGCCAATACCACATCTAGCCTAATCAACTTGAACAGTCACTCTTTAAATTGTACAACATCAGATCATTACTTTCAATGTTTACTGTTTTATTAATCTTTTGGTTACATAGTCGATTTTGATCTTGCCTATATGCAAAAGGAGTTCACTCAAGGCCACCAAATGGCTTCGACTGACTTGAATTTAAAAGTGTTCGTGAAACAAAGGATCGTATATGCAGATTTATTTCTGCAGGAAAGAATTCAAGCGTAAAAAAGTGGCTGTCCGATTGAGTCGCTTAGTGCTTCATCGCGTTTCAAAAGGTCCGTCGATTCTTTGGCATTTGGTAGTCACGACACATTTTGTAATAATCTTCGCATTCTGTAACAACGGTTGCAGAATTTTGTAATAACTTGAGCGTTTTGTAATAGCTCTTAAAGGACTATAACTTTGATTCATGGCGTCACTGGTATTGTCGGCATTATTTTCGTTATTTGAAAACAAAGGTTAAACTTCACTTACACTGAAATGGACATCTCAAGTGGTCGTTGCTATGGTTCTTTTTATCACTTCGGTGATTGATGGATTAAGTTGAGTTAACTTTGTATGATTAGCTGCATTAATTGTCTGATTAAAGGTGTCCGGTCATAACACAACAGAATAATTAGTGAAAAATAAAGCAGGTGATGCACTAATCACATCTAAGGAAATTGCAATGGTTCTGATTGATAATCAATCTGATTTATCTTGCATAAATATCTATTGGGTCTCATTTTGACGTCGGAAAATACTTTAAGAGTACTCCTAAAGGCCTTGCGAAAACGTGATTGCCATTCGTTACAAAATCTTTTAGCGGAGAAAATATTGAGTTAAACTTTGCTCGACAATGTAGTTTTAATCGACCCAAAGCAGTGTTTTAACTTGAGATCATTAGTTCATGGCAGATTACGGGCAAAAACTTTACATTTTTTTCGAGCAAGTTTATGCAAAGTCAGCAACCTTTTTAGGCTAAGTGCGTTTCCTTCTCCAATTCAGTGGAACACATTTTGTTTTTCTCTGACACCTTAATGTTAAAATGTTAATATAATTTTATTCTTTTCATTTTTTTTTTATTAGTACTCAGTTCACTTTCTTATTTTGATAATCATGTTCTTACATTGGGTCAATCATAATAGTCCAATTTACAGTTGCGTGTTTGGTTGCCAAGCCTCTGAATAGGAATGAGGCTAAGGTATTGAGTAAGGACTACACCACTTTCAGATAGATGGCATAAGCTTGCAATTGCTAACTCCTGGCTTCCAAAGCTACGGGAGAAGGGGATAGATGGTGTGAAGTTCGCTCAAAGACCACTTAAACTTCCTGGCCCAAAAAAAAAACATACAGTAAAACATAGTTCCGTTCTTCGTTTGAAAATAAAATGGTTCTTCATAATTTTGCTGTTCGTTTCATTTGTATTTTTCTTGTAATCAGGAATTATTTCATAAAGTTGACTGAATTTTTTTAAAGAAATCGATTTTTTTTAATATTGAAATTCTGGCTTTAGCAAGGAGGGTATGGTTTACTAAGAAAAGTGTGGTTCACTTAGAAAAAGTTTAGTTTTTACTGTTCGGAGTAAAAGTCAGTAGCGCTCTAAAAGGTCTTGTTTACATCAAGGTAGGAACATGGGGGGAATCATTTCTCAAATGAATGCACTTGTTTGTTTGAGTAATAAAAAGTGACAGGAATGTGAGGGAAAAAAAAAAACAGAAATGGATATCTACATATCTTCCAAATCACGCGCTCATACTTCCAGGATGCGCATGAGTAGCCTCCAATAATAACAGACACATAGGTAGAGAGGGATAGCCGCGACGCGGAAGCGTTGAGTTGAAAGGAATTACAACCCGCTTACACTCTTAGGGCTGGAAAATCCAGTTTAAGGTCGATTCTTCCCAATCTTGATTGTTAGCAAACTTTCTTCTTCATAATCATTGATACTAATCTAATTGCTGGCTCGTATTTTTAGACGCTCCTTCTTAGCAAGGATACGTTGGTAAACGTTTCATCCGGTCGGGTGATCGACCTTATATCAAACGATGTTCAGAGGATGGGGGAGGCAGCCTTTTGGTTTTTTCCCTTAGCTTATGTTTGGCTGGCCATCTTCTTGGCTTCATTTATCCTTGTGTTCTTTATTGGCTGGCAGGCTGTCATAGGACTGATATTTTATGTGTTCTTGTGCCATATTACGCTGAGCTTTCAAGCATGAACGCTCTAATGCGCCAGAGAACCTCAGCGGAGACTGATTAGAGACTTTCCTTGATAACTGAAGTGGTTTTTGGGATCCGTACTATCAAGGCATATGCGTGCGAAAATGGTTATAGGGAGAAAATACGGAGCAAAAGGAGGTAAGGGAATTGATTTTCGTTAAAATCATAGAGAATATTGCTTCCTACTTTAGCTCTTGGTTCCAACCATATTCTAAATATCGATATTTACTAAAGCAGGAGTGATAAGAAATGTAAGTTCTGGAAAATTTTCTTATTTTAAAATAAAATACAGCCAGAAATTTTCATCTCTTGAATATACAGCACATCTGTGACCTACACTGGACACTAAAGAGATATCACTGAGGGTTGGTTGTCAACACTGACCAACCCTCAATCGTCGATGTAACACATTGATAGCAACATTACAACCCTCTTCGGACATCATTCATCGGAAATCTCCCTTTTCTTAGTTGGTGTTCCTCGCGGCCGAAACTTTCGCAAACAGTTATAACGATAAATTAGGCAAGGTTTCCTTGAATTAACCGCAGGGTGTTTCTTTTTTCGAACATATTTAGCAACGTTCCTACGTCTGCTCATTCCGATCATATATCGTTTACCAATCAAAACCTTTGGGTCCGGCTGGTAATATTAAAATATATATTTTCTCTAACATCCATAAATCAATTGTACTAAGATGGAGCATACTCACGTTTTACTCTAGAGAAAGAGATCGGCATCATCCGTACGAACACTTGAGTCCTGTCGTCTATTGCAACTCTGGAGTACACTTCTGCACCAATAGCGACCCTGCTGTCTATCATCTCTCTGATGTTAACTGGTCAGCCCCTCACGCCCAGCAGTGTCTTCCTGATCCTTTCTTACGTTAATATCCTCAAGCGTAGCCTCTGCACTGAATTAGCCCGGGGATTATTAAAAACATATGAAGCGGACGTCTCGCTAAGTATGATAGAAGACTACCTTCTTTTAGAGAACCTGCCTTTAACTGCTTCTTACCGGTTGAACGAGAAGAAAGGGTATGTAGAAAGAAGCCCAGAAATTCTGGAGAACCCGCAGAATAATTTAGTTGATTTTGCAGAGGCTACATATGATAAAAATACTAATAGCCGAAATGACAGTGAAACACAGGAAAATTTGCGTGTGTCGAGTTTAACGCATAAACAAACTCAAAGGAAGGACATATTCATCTTACAAGATGTGGAGTTCGACACTGTGTTAAAGAGTTTCACAGCGGTCACTAGACCGTTTGGCAGATGAAAATCTACTCTTCTATCGGCAATTGCCGGCGAGTTGTCAAATGTGAATGGGACAATTTCTTTCAGTGGAAAGTTCGTCTATGTACCCCAGACAGCTTGGGTTTTCTCTGGAAGGAGTATATTTGAGTTGGTTGGCACTCTTCTCTTTGTAGCCATCAATAGGATGACCAACCCGTTTGACGAGAGCGTTAGGATGAACATTACTGTAAATGTCACCTGTGAGGTACGACTCTTGCCAAACAGTTTCTCCCAGGTAATTAAGCTCACTCTTCTTTACCTTGGTAAGTTGAATTCGCCAAGAAA